TTTGTATTATTACTTGATTTGAATAATATACTCAATAGATCAACATGTCCACCAACCATCACTTGATCCTCAACTAGCAGTAAAAGCTTTTAGGAAACAGTTTGGTGCACTATCAAAATTGTTATCAGTTTCTTGTAATAGACTGGCAGTTGCTCCTGAATTATTTAGTGAAGGTCTCATCACATTTGATTGTTATAGGAATGCTACTGAAGGAAGTAGCAAGACAGAGGAAGAGAAGAGTACAGCTCTAATGATATCACTAATGTCTACAATCAGTACACAACCTGAATTACTAACTGAACTGATTAATGTATTAAACAGAATAGAACCATTTAAACTATTAGCAACTAAACTAGTTGAAGCTTCTTATCACTAACTTGCCTTTCAATTTTATTATTATTGTAGTCATCAAGAGTGTGTATACTCTTGATTTTTTAAATAAATTTTGTGCAATCAGATAGCTACTTGAATGGGTGGGGCTCATTATCAGTAATGTCCCGACTGGATCAGCTGCATCAGCAAGCATGTTTCAACCTGTGACTAGGGACATGCACATTATTCTTTTTTTCAACCCTATAATTCTATTCTTCAATTCTCTTCCTCAATCCCATTATTCTCTCCTTTTTGGCCCATTATTCCTATTATTATGCTCTGATAATACCAAAAATTCATTTTGATTATTAATATCATCATTCATGGTTATATTGTAACACTACTGATGACTCAATGTAATCCTCAAGTGAATTACTTTGAGTGTCCTGAAATCTGTTCAGTATTATTTCCAGTGGAGTTACTCATTGCTGTTGCTGTAAAGTGCTGTTAAATTATACTGTACTGCTTGCAGACACATGCTCATGCAGTATTGAAAGGGTTAAATTGATCACATGATCTAGGCAGGCAAATTTTAACCCATTATTCTTTCTCTAAATTTCACACCCATTATTCCAAAAGAAATTCCCGAATAATGTGCGTGTCCCTACCTGTGACACATCAGCTATTATTTTAATTCACATTACTTTTGATTTAATCACTAAAGGAGGCCATGACTAAAGAGCACACATGGACATAATAATAAAAGTCAGTTAATAAAAAGAGATAGAGAGAGAGTGCACGAGAACCAAAAGGATAAATAAAATTTTAAATAAGGTAAAAACACTAGAGAAAAATACATGTACATGAAATGGCTTATTCTTTTATTTACAACTCATGGCTTTTATCTGTAATTGTACAGGAATCATCACGGTCTTCTAAACCCAGTCTATTCATAGCACTAGTAATGTCACCATGTTTCATAGTACATGCCATCTTGTATGGAGGATTAATTGGAGCTTGCACTGGAGGGAGACAACAATCCTTTGGAAAAAACATGAGAAGTAAATGGAGATGCTTTATAAAAGTATAAAGAGACTAACTTCTTCAAGAGGGTATGTCATATCTGAGTCAAACTGACTAAGATCTCCACATGCTATGAATGGCACAACAGATTTATTGACTTCTGGTAAACTTGACAGGTTGACTAAAAATAATAAGAATGAAATTTAATAAATACAAATACATATAATGCCACAATAATTACTTGCAGTGCAATTTATTAGCTGCTCTTACATGCGTTAGTCTGCAAAAGTGGATTGTCCATTGACGGTATGTAACCAGTTGGAGGATTATAATTAACACATACGACAAATGATTCAATACTTGAATTACGACTGCTACGGGGTTTAACACAATACACTGAAGAGAAAAAGAGTGAGAGTTGGTGAAACAAAAGGTTTACATCTTTACCACGAAATATCTAAAAACAATAATCCATAGATCTAGTGGAGGAAGACAGTTTTAGCTAAACTTTTGGTAACGAGCATGTGCAAATAACAATGCATGATTATCAAAACTCCACCAAACAAATTACAAGTT